TCTGAACAAACCAACTTGTCATTCCACCTCTTTCTATTTCATTCTCACATAGGGCAGAGCAACAGGAGGACATATCCGCGGAGCTTGTTAAGAACCAGCATTTCTGAATCGCATCAACATAATCCCCACCCACAGGATTTCATTTACCCACCACATTAATCCCTGCGAATCACCATAGTAGACAAATGATATTATGTTATTGTGATTCAATTATACATTTATATAAGTACTTAATATCATGGTTATTAGTATCCTACGATACGTGATATGTATTTATGATACATTCGATATGTATCTTATGATACGATTCGATAGAGTCGTCAATGATACGTATAGAGAGTGTATCATAAACCTTTCGATACGTTGATATATATCCTACGATACGATACGTATCCGTTTGTATCCTAAAATATCGATACAATCGATATGACTTTATTAATTTGGGTCAAAGGTCCAAAAAAAAATTTTAGGTCGAATCCGGGTCACCCAACCTGGTTCACTAAACCTACCCAAATTTACTCATTTGCATCGAGAAAGTGAATCAGAAGATGTTTTGCCAATTTTGCATGATAATAATAACACAAGTAGAGTTTAGATATTGACATTGATCTTGGAAATGATATGAATGGATGAGAGGAAATGATAAAATTCTAATTTTATGATTAATTTTGATTGTGTAATACCATAATTTAAAGCCAATAATACCACAAAATTTGTTAATTAATCATGGGATAATATTAATTTTTAGAAAATTTTATTATTTATTAATTTTTTTGAAAAAGGCGTATCCTACGATCGATACGTGATACATGATTCGAAAAATTAGGTTTTCGATAAACAATACGATACACAATTTGATAACCATGCTTAATGTATAATATATCATGGTGTTAGTATCTTACGATATGCGATACGTATCCTATAATACTATTCGATACGGGTCACCAATGATACGTATTAGAGAATGTATCCTAAACCTTTCGATACGTTGATATGTATCATCCGATGATACATATCGTTTATATCCTTAAAAATATCGATACAAATCGATACGACTTTATTAATTTGGGCCAAAGGTCTAAAAAAAATTTCAGGTCAAATCCGGGTCACCCAACCTGGCTCATTAAAACTTGCCCAAATTTACCCATTTTGCATGGAGAAAATGAAAAGGAGATGTGTTGCCCATTTTGCATGATATAATAACACGTGGAGTTATAGATATCACATTGATTCTTAGAAATGATATGAATGGTTGAGAGGAAATGATATAGATTCTTAATTTGTGATTAATTTGATTATGTAATACCATAATTTAAAGCCAATAATACAAAAAAATTGTTAATTAATCATGGGGATGAGATAAATTTTTAGAAAATTTTTATTATTTTATTAATTTTTTTGAAAAATACGTATCCTGCGATACGAACGATACGCAATATACAATTCGAAAAATTAGTTTTGATACACGATATGATACACAATTTGACAAGCAAATACAAATTTGGGTCCAAAATAAAGTTAAAATAAAATCATAATCATACAATCCTTGATTCTCTCGGATGGGCGGGGATTCCCTTATATCCCATCCGGAGACGGGCAAGGTTTGAGGAATCTCTTGGGCCTTGGGCCGGCTCAGAGATAGGATCCTTGGCTTTGACCCAGCCCGTGCCTATCCTAGTTCTTATGTAGCCTTCCTCCATCCATCAAAACAGTTGCGTCCATGTATTTTGTATCAATGGCATGAATGCGTCCCTGACCTGGTCTATATGAATTGATGATGACGAAATTTGCATTCTGTTGGTGTAAAATAAAATAAATAATTTCTTGTATATATGAAAACACAAACGAGTATATTCACTACGATATACATTTTTCTGTCACAGTTTCACAAACACTATGTTCAAGTAACGAGAGTCTATACAATAGAAAAAACAAAAAGTTGGTTTTTTTTTTTTTTTTTTTTTTTTTTTTTTTTTTTTTTTTTATGAGATATAATGGATTTAATATAGGAGAGGATCATGGTTAACTTATTAGCTTAATTATGAGATTCTCACCATGGAAGTGCTTTCATTGAGTTGTAACTTCTCATTAGAACTTTTTCTTTACAGCTTAATTTAATGATGGAGCTGTCATCATGGAAGTGCGCATTTTTTTTTTTTTTTTTTTAATATTTTTATTGTTTTAACTGCTGCCGACTCTCAGATTATTTCCTGAGCATTCTGGGGTCTGTTTGTTTTATATTTTGGATAGTATTTTGGGAATAATATTAGATAGTTGAATAGAGAGTATTACGAGGTAAAATTTATAAGAAACCCCTTAGGTTTGCTAATTTAATAACACCCTAATATATAATTTTTTTTTTAAATGACAAAAACATCCCCACCACCGCAGTGCCAGATTTCGCCACCACCACCGGAATCTGGCAGCAAAATCGCGCGACCTCCACAGACACAGTCGGATCTGGCGGGTAGGACGTTGATATGGCATTTTGGCCAAGCAGGAACATTTGCTGTGTTGTGCCATATCTGGCCTTTTCGGCCAGATCCACCAAGGATTAGTAGGAAAATGCCAGATCTACGTCATATTTGGCCGTCAATGACTACAAAATTCACGGCTAAAGATATGACTGTCGTTGTCTGTCAACGAGGTCAAGATTTGCATTTCTAGAGAAATTTACTTTTGAGGGAGGAAGCAAGGCCAGATTGTTATAGTTTTAAATGGACTTAGTTCATACCACAATCAGGTCCAAAACCAATTAAAACCTTTACGGATCAAACTAAAAGTCCAACTTGCCTCTGTTTTTCTTTCTAGTATTTCTCCTCTCTTTTAAAGCAGGAGTGGGAATACTTGACCTATTTAGAGTTGTTTTAGAAACACTTATATCAATCAGGTGTACACCGAGCCAAACCAAAGAATTAACAATAGGCCTATATTACATCTCACAATCAACCCAGATTAAAGAGTTTTTTTGTTTTTGTTTCTTTTACTGATTTTTGGTTGGCACATGAAAATTTGCTTCCAATTGATGCATTACATATCTCAAATAATATAAAAAAATTTCATTTATTTTTAAGTGATGTTAGCATTAACACTTGTTGCAATTATTATAAATAGCCTTATTTCCATGGGAGAATTGAAAAATAGCCTATTTTAAAAAGTTTTACTCTATAACTTTCTTTTTATTCTATTAGCGATTTTAAACTAAAGATAAATATCTATCCAAACACAAGTTTTCTCTCTAACCATCAACTCTTTGCATGCATAAAGAACAAATCAATCATTATCACTATTCAACTAAAGATATTTATCTCATTCTTCAATGTTTGTAAGCTATAAAATATGGTTTTTTCATGTATGAGATAATTTAGTATGAGTTATGTGTTAAATATTATAATTTAGCTTCAAATAGTTTTTAAATTGTAGTTGGTGTATGTTTGTTTGATTACAATTTAAGGATTTAAGTTTGTGTTTTCCTCATTTGTATTCATTTATACAAGTCGGAGCAATTTGGGGCTGGAGGTTGAAGTTTTTTTCCTGGAGGTTTCTGCTTAGTTTTGCACACACTTTAACTAATCTATTAGGGCTTTGAAACTGTCGTCGTGTAAGAGTCTTAATAGCCACCCTATTAGTGTCTAACAAGACTCGAACTCAAGAGCTCATGGAATCTTCTTATAACTCTTTTACCATCAGGTCACCTAATAGTGGTTACTGAAAGATGTTTTGATATTATTAAATGAAAGCAAATTAAGATAGTTTTCCCTTCTTACACATTAATTTTGACAATTATATAATTACAGCTGGCAGTTAGAATCATTTGGATGTTGAAGGGGAATTGGGTCGTGGTAGGGATTTGAACCCGGTTGAGAATCTTGACTCAGTTGGATGACTCGGAATCAAACGGGTATGGAAGTAGTTGGTTAAGGTGTTGGGTTTTTGGCGGGTTTGATGGTGGGATTGGCCTAGTTTGGCCCACGATGGGGTTGGGCCGTGAGGGGCTTGGTCTGTGGGTTTGAAAGTGTGATATTTGTGGTTTGATCATCTGCCATTTGTTGAACCAAAAAGATAAAAATACCAAGTTTTCTGTTTGAATTTCAGGGACAGAAAAGAGAGATCGATTGAGTGGAAGCTTAAAGGAGAGCTCTAATACCATGTTAGAAATTAAAAAGAAAAAGGAAAGGTCTATTTATAATGAGGAACAACCTTAAAAGACAATGCACATTCTGCTTAATATCATAATCCCATAATATGGAAAGGTCTATTTAACATGAGGAAAATGTGTAGTAAATCAGCATGCAACCAAAAAGATAAAACTAACCAAGTTTTTCTGTTTGAATTTCAGGAGCAGAAGAGAGACGATTGAGCGGAAGCTTAAAAGGAGAGCCTATAACATGTTAGAAATTAAAGAAGAAAAAGAAAGGGCTATTTTATACATGAGGAATAATCTGTAAAAGACAATGCACACATTCTGCCTTAATATCATAATCCCATACATGAGGAAAGGTCTATTTATACATGAGGAATAATGTGTAGTAAATCAGCAATGTAATGAAAACATAATATTTGACATTAAAGTCAAATATTAGTTTCCCTAATTCAGTAATTCATATCTCCACAGTAAAATTCAGTGGGCTGGAGTTAGTAGAAGTTTGCGACAGTTCAGGATATTTTAGATACTATTAAATATTAATAGCTCCTGATATCACACCAATAATTTCAATGACATTAACTCCTCAGTGTCTTCAAGTTACATTTTCTTTATTCAAATTTTCTTTCTAAAATTCATATAGTATCATAAATAAAGCTCTAAAGTTTGAATTTCCACATTCAATTACATAAAAGGAAAAAAATACCAAAATTTCATAACAAGGAACTATCTCACATAATATTCTCAAATTTTCATTCATTTTATGTGATATTATCATTACAACTCGAATAAATTGAATAATTGCTAATCTTTCGGTTTGATCCCGAAAGATGTGGTGAATTTATAGAATGGAAGCGATTTTAAATTCTTTTTTCTTTATTTCTTTCACAGACAATAATATTATGCAGATTCAGGTTACTCTCTGAAAAAGCACTTTGACTATGTGAAAGTTGACAGTCTGAGTATCACAGTAAGCAGTGTAGTAAAAACTCTTTGCCACTGTTAGAAATGTCTGCTTAACATTAAAGTCAATGTCGTTTGAAGAATTTTGAAGAACTAACTGCACAAGTTCTTGCATCTCAGACTCTACTTGGAAGGTTGTGATGCTATCACTATTAGCGTTATTGCTACCATTGTCATGTACCTGAAACAAAATTAAAAGATTATTAAATTTGAATAAAGATTAATGGTGAGGGGGCTTATTCGAATAATGGGACTACACAGAAAATTTACCCCAACCTACAGTATTAGCCAGGTATCAGTTTAAGCTTTCCAAATAATAGGTTATATAGATGTCTCTCAGACTGACCTTTTGCTTCTGGTAATTACCAAGTTTGCTGCAAATTCTGTTGGTAAGGTCTGAGAGTCGCTTATACAGAGGATGATGCAACAGCTCATCTGAGAACCAATGCCCAGCAAATAGATTTATTGTGTATACAAGTAACTCTGCTTCTCCTTCATGCCTATCTCCTTCCTCTTGCCACTTCATCAGCCATTTTCCCCACTACATAAATTTTCAGATATAAGAAACAGAGAAGTTAAACACATTGGGCAGATCTATTATTCTGGCTTTGGAAGTTGAATGAAATTTGATTCGGTTCAAGAAAAATAATCGGTCCTTGTTATATTCATGGCAATAGCTTCCATTCGGATTATATAGAAACTAATAATTCAGTCTGATTGAATGCTTTGAATGTGTTTTATGAATTACTTACAGCCTGATGTATATGGTGGCTCATGTCTCGACCTTGAGCCGCAAGTGCGTTCGATGAAAGGTGGTTCAGCGTCCCGAGCAAGATCTGACTTAATCCCTGCTCTATTTTGTCTGATCCCAACCTCCTGTATGCCACAAAACACATTTTTTTAACGTACCCAAAAAAAAAAAATAAAAAAAAATGATGCCTTTTATTCTTAGTTCATTGAATATTGTAATTACTATTCATATTATTCGATATTGATGAATATGAACATTAATTCCGATAATTACTTACAGCTGGAATAAGTTGTTGATAGCTCTTCCATTTTTATAATTGCTTCTATTAGTACAGTTTCTAAATTCATCAACGAAGGCTTTCCTCTGCTCTCTGGAATGTTTTGTTTTGTGAAAATGAGAAGTGATTGTCTCCACCAAGACTGAAGTCTTAGCCCAAGCAATTCGCTCTAACCATTTCTCTGGCTCATATATACTGGCGGATGCTAGAAAATACGCTAATAGAAGGGCCCTTCTGCTCATTCCGAAATTTTCAAGCGTACATTCTGAGTACCACCTGTATATCATAGCATTTTTCTTGAGAAAAAAAAAAAAAATTTGAGTTGTTGGAAGAAAAGGATATCTGTTGTATAATACCTTTGCATACTGTTCCATTCAGTTTGATGTAAAGCTTGGCAATTGTTGTAGTCTAACTTGGCAAGCTCAAGATAAATTTTAGTGTTTACATTCAGCATCCTGTAGGGGTACTTATATAGCCATTAGAATATAACTGAATCAATAAAATTAATCGAAATGTGTTTATCTAGTCATTTGTGCACTCATTCAATAATACTATAACAAAACATGTATTTACTTTAATTTCTTGATTTGTAGATTTGTGGACTAATAAGTTCGCTGCTTTTGATATTTCAGATTATCAAGACAAATATTCTTGATTGAAATCATAACAAATGAATTAAGGAATATACAAATAAAAGCATACCTGTACAAGACTTTGCCTATCCAAATGTCATCTTCGCCGCCATATTGCTCTATGTACAGTCTTGTCTCAACTCTAGGGAACCTTGCGTACAATGGAACCTCCAATGCAAAGCTCACCTGTCATCGTAATTGTTATTGGTTTAGGTTTTTTTTTTAATCTGAGAGTATTGGATTAATATAGGAAGAGATCATGGTTAACTTATTAGCTTAATTAGAGATCCACATGGAATGTCTTTCATTGAGTTGTAACTTCTCATTAGACCCTTTTCTTTACAGCTTAATTTATGATGAGCTGTCCTATGGAAGTGCGCATTTTTTTTTTTTTTTTTAATATTTTTATTGTTTTAACTGCTGCCGACTCTCAGATTATTTCCTGAGCATTCTGGGGTCTGTTTGTTTTATATTTTGATAGTATTTTGGGAATAATATAGATAGTTGAATAGAGATGTAGAATTAAGGAAGATGTATACAGAAATTTATAAGAAACCCCTTAGGTTTGCTAATTTATAAACACCCTATTATATTTTTTTTTTAAATGACAAAAACTCCCCACCACCCGCATGCCAGATTTCGCCACCACCACCGGAATCTGGCCAGAAAATCGGCGTTCCACCACAGACAGTCGGATCTGGCGGGTAGGTACGTTATATGGCATTTTTCTCGCAAAGATGAATTTGTGACTGTTGATATGCCTATCTGCCTTTTCGCCAGATCCACCAAGATTCGTAGGAAAATGCCAGATCTACGTCATATTTGGCCGTCAATGACTACAAATATTCACGGCTAAAGATAGACTGTCGTTGTCTGTCAACGAGGTCAAGATTTGCATTTCTAGAAAATTTACTTTTGAGGGAGGAAGCAAGGCCAGATTTGTTATAGTTTTAAATGGACTTAGTTCATACCCCACAATCAGGTCCAAAACCAATTAAAACCTTTACGATCAAACTAAAATTCCAACTTGCCTCTGTTTTTCTTTCTAGTATTTTCTCCTCTCTTTTAAAGCGGAGTGGATACTTGGACCTATTTAGAGTTGTTTTAGAAACACTTTATATCAATCAGGTGTACCCGAGGCCCAAACACAGAATTAACAATTAGGCCTATATTAACATCTCACAATCAACCCAGATTAAGAGTTTTTTTGTTTTTGTTTCTTTTACTGATTTTTGGTTGGCACATGAAAATTTGCTTCCAATTGATCATTACATATCTCAAAAATATTAAAAAAATTTCATTTATTTTTAAGTGATGTTAGCATTAACACTTGTTGCAATTATTATAAATCACTTATTTCCATGGGAGAATTGAAAATAGCCTATTTAAAAATTTTTATCTCTTAACTTTCTTTTTATTCTATTAGCGATTTTAAACTAAAGATAATATCTATCCAAACACAAGTTTTCTCTTCTAACCATCAACTCTTTGCATGCATAAACGACAATCAATCAATTATCCCTATTCAACTAAAGATATTTCTCATTCTTTATCTGTTGTAAGCTATAAAATAGGTTTTTTCATGTATGAGATAATTTAGGATGAGTTATGTGTTAAATATTATAATTTAGCTTCAAATAGTTTTTAATTGTAGTTGGATGTATGTTTTTGATTTGATACCAATTTAAGGATTTAAAGTTTGTGTTTTCTCATTTGTATCATTTACAAGTCGGCAATTTGGGTCTGGAGGTTGAAGTTTTTTTCACTGGAGGTTTCTGAGCCAGTTTGCCACACACTTTAACTAATCTATTAGGGCTTTGAAACTGTCAGTCGTGTAAGAGTCTTAATCCACCCCTATTAGTGCTAACAAGACTCGAACTCAAGAGCTCATGGAATCTTCTTATACTCTTTTACCATCAGGTCACCTAATAGTGGTTACTGAAAGATGTTTTTGATATTATTAAATGAAACAAATTAAGATTAGTTTTCCCTTCTTACACATTAATTTTTGACATTATATAATTACAGCTGGCATTTAGAATCATTTGGATGTTGAAGGGGAATTGGGTCGGGTAGGGATTTGAACCCGGTTGAAATCTTGACTCAGTGTGGACTCGGAATCACAACGGTATGGAAAGTAGTTGGGTTAAGGTGTTGGGTTTTGGGCGGTTTTATGGTGGGATTGGCCTAGTTTGGCCCACGATGGGGTTTGGCCGTGAGGGGCTTGGTCTGTGGGTTTGAAAGTGTGATATTTGTGGTTTGATCATCTGCCATTTGTTGAACCAAAAAGATAAAAATACCAAGTTTTCTGTTTGAATTTCAGGGACAGAAAAGAGAGATCGATTGAGTGGAAGCTTAAAGGAGCTCTAATACCATGTTAGAAATTAAAGAAGAAAAAGGAAAGGTCTATTTATACATGAGGAACAACCTGTAAAAGACATGCACACATTCTGCCTTAATATCATAATCCCATACATGAGGAAAGGTCCTATTTATACATGAGGAATAATGTGTAGTAAATCAGCATGCAACCAAAAAGATAAAAATACCAAGTTTTCTGTTTGAATTTCAGGGACGAAAGAGAGATCGATTGAGCGAAGCTTTAAAGGAGAGCTCTAATACCATGTTAGAAATTAAGAAGAAAAAGAAATTCTATTTATACTGAGGAATAATCTGTAAAAGACACTGCACACATCGGCCTTAATTCCATAATCCATACATGAGGAAAGGTCTTTTATACCTTAGGACGCAAAACCAAAATAATGGCATATTCCATCCTCAAGTCTGAACAAACCAACTTGTCATTCCACCTCTTTCTATTTCATTCTCACATAGGGCAGAGCAACAGGATGACATATTCCGCGGAGCTTTGTTAAGAACCAGCATTTCTGAATCGCATCAACATAATCCCCACCCACAGGATTTCATTTACCCACAACATTAATCCCTGCGAATCACCATAGTAGACAAATGATATTATGTTATTGTGATTCAATTTATACATTTATATAAGTACTTAATATCATGGTTATTAGTATCCTACGATACGTGATATGTATCTTATGATACGATTCGATATGTATCTTATGATACGATTCGATATGAGTCGTCAATGATACGTATCAGAGAGTGTATCATAAACCTTTCGATACGTTGATATATATCCTACGATACGATACGTATCCGTTTGTATCCTTAAAAATATCGATACAAATCGATATGACTTTATTAATTTGGGTCAAAGGTCCAAAAAAAAATTTTAGGTCGAATCCGGGTCACCCAACCTGGTTCACTAAAACCTACCCAAATTTACTCATTTTGCATCGAGAAAGTGAATCAGAAGATGTTTTGCCAATTTTGCATGATAATAATAACACAAGTAGAGTTATAGATATTGACATTGATCTTGGAAATGATATGAATGGATGAGAGGAAATGATATAAATTCTTAATTTTATGATTAATTTTGATTGTGTAATACCATAATTTAAAGCCAATAATACCACAAAATTTGTTAATTAATCATGGGGATAATATTAATTTTTAGAAAAATTTTATTATTTTATTAATTTTTTTGAAAAAGGCGTATCCTACGATACGATACGTGATACATGATTCGAAAAATTAGGTTTTCGATAAACAATACGATACACAATTTGATAACCATGCTTAATGTATATATATATCATGGTTGTTAGTATCTTACGATATGCGATACGTATCCTATAATACTATTCGATACGGGTCACCAATGATACGTATTAGAGAATGTATCCTAAACCTTTCGATACGTTGATATGTATCATCCGATATGATACATATCCGTTTATATCCTTAAAAATATCGATACAAATCGATACGACTTTATTAATTTGGGCCAAAGGTCTAAAAAAAATTTCAGGTCAAATCCGGGTCACCCAACCTGGCTCATTAAAACTTGCCCAAATTTACCCATTTTGCATGGAGAAAATGAAAAGGAGATGTGTTGCCCATTTTGCATGATAATAATAACACAAGTGGAGTTATAGATATTCACATTGATCTTAGAAATGATATGAATGGTTGAGAGGAAATGATATAGATTCTTAATTTTGTGATTAATTTTGATTATGTAATACCATAATTTAAAGCCAATAATACCAAAAAAATTGTTAATTAATCATGGGGATGATATTAATTTTTAGAAAATTTTTATTATTTTATTAATTTTTTTGAAAAATACGTATCCTGCGATACGATACGATACGCAATATACAATTCGAAAAATTAAGTTTTCGATACACGATATGATACACAATTTGACAAGCAAATACAAAATTTGGGTCCAAAAATAAAGTGTAAAATAAAATCATAATCATACAATCCTTGAATTCTCTCGGGATGGGCTGGGGGATTCCCTTATATCCCCATCCCGGAGACGGGCAAGGTTTGAGGAATCTCTTTGGGCCCTTGGGCCGGGCTCAGAGATAAGGATCCTTGGCTTTGACCCAGCCCGTGCCTATCCCTAGTTCTTATAGTAGCCTTCCTCCATCATCAAAACAGTTGCGTCCATGTATTTTGTATCAATGGCATGAATGCGTCCCTGACCTGGTCTATATTAGAATTGATGATGACGAAATTTGCATTCTGTTGGTGTAAAATATAAAATAATAATTTCTTGTATATATGAAAACACAAACGAGTATATTCACTACGCATATACATTTTTTCTGTCACTAGTTTCACAAACACTATGTTCAAGTAACGAGAGTCTATACAATAGAAAAAACAAAAAGTTGGTTTTTTTTTTTTTTTTTTTTTTTTTTTTTTTTTTTTTGTTTTGTTATGAAATATGGATTAATATAGGAAGAGGATCATGGTTAACTTTTAGCTTAATTATGAGATTCTCACCATGGATGCTTTCATTGAGTTGTAACTTCTCATTAGACCTTTTTCTTTACAGCTTAATTAATGATGGAGCTGTCATCATGGAAGTGCGCATTTTTTTTTTTTTTTTTTTAATTTTTTTATTGTTTTAACTGCTGCCGACTCTCAGATTATTCCTGAGCATTCTGGGGTCTGTTTGTTTATATTTTGGATGTATTTTGGAATAATATTAGATAGTTGAATAAGAATGTATTACGAGTAAAATTTATAAGAAACCCCTTAGGTTTGCTAATTTATAACACCCTAATATATAATTTTTTTTTAAATGACAAAAATCCCCCACCCAGCAGTGCCATATTCGGCCACCACCACCGGAATCTGGCCAGAAAATCGCGTTACACCACAGACCAGTCGGATCTGGCGGGTAGACGTTGATATGGCATTTTTCGGCCAAGATGAACATTGTGTGACTGTTGATGGCCATATCTGGCCTTTTCCGGCCAATCCACCATTGAGGAAAATGCCAGATCTACGGTCATATTTGGCCGTCAATGACTACAATATTCACGGCTAAGATATGACTGTCGTTGTCCTGTCAACGATGGTCAAGATTTGCATTTCTAGAGAAATTTACTTTTGAGGGAGGAAGCAAGGCCAGATTGTTATAGTTTTAATGGACTTAGTTCATACCCACAATCAGGGTCCAAAACCAATTAAAACCTTTACGGATCAAACTAAAAAGTCCAACTTTGCCTCTGTTTTCTTTCTAGTATTTCTCCTCTCTTTTTAAAGCAGGAGTGGGAATACTTGGACCTATTTAGAGTTGTTTTAGAAACACTTTATATCAATCAGGTGTACACCGAGGCCCAAACACAGAATTAACAATTAGGCCTATATTAACATCTCACAAATCAACCCAGATTAAAGAGTTTTTTTGTTTTTGTTTCTTTTACTGATTTTTGGTTGGCACATGAAAATTTGCTTCCAATTGATGCATTACATATCTCAAATAATATTTAAAAAAATTTCATTTATTTTTAAGTGATGTTATCATTAACACTTGTTGCAATTATTATAAATAGCCTTATTTCCATGGGAGAATTGAAAAATAGCCTATTTTAAAAAGTTTTACACTCTATAACTTTCTTTTTATTCTATTAGCGATTTTAAACTAAAGATAAATATCTATCCAAACACAAGTTTTCTCTCTAACCATCAACTCTTTGCATGCATAAACGACAAATCAATCAATTATCACTCATTCAACATTAAACTAAAGATATTTATCTCATTCTTTCATCTGTTGTAAGCTATAAAATATAGGTTTTTTCATGTATGAGATAATTTAGGTATGAGTTATGTGTTAAATATTATAATTTAGCTTCAAATAGTTTTTAATTGTAGTTGGATGTATGTTTTTGGATTTGATACCAATTTAAGGATTTAAAGTTTGTGTTTTCTCATTTGTATTCATTTATACAAGTCGAGCAATTTGGGGCTGGAGGTTGAAGTTTTTTTCACTGGAGGTTTCTGAGCCAGTTTGCACACACTTTAACTAATCTATTAGGGCTTTGAAACTGTCAGTCGTGTAAGAGTCTTAATAGCCACCCCTATTAGTGTCTAACAAGACTCGAACTCAAGAGCTCATGGAATCTTCTTATACTCTTTTACCATCAGGTCACCTAATAGTGGTTACTGAAAGATGTTTTTGATATTATTAAATGAAAGCAAATTAAGATTAGTTTTCCCTTCTTACACATTAATTTTGACAATTATATAATTACAGCTGGCAGTTAGAATCATTTGGATGTTGAAGGGGAATTGGGTCGGGTAGGGATTTGAACCCGGTTGAGAATCTTGACTCAGTGTGGGACTCGGAAATCCAAACGGGTATGGAAAGTAGTTGGGTTTGGGCCGGCTTGATTTGTTGGGATTGGCCCGGTTTGGCCCACGATGGGGTTTGATGTATTTGGGCCGTGAGGGGGTTGGTCCGTGGGGTTTGAAAGTGTGATGTTTGTGGTTTGATCATCTGCCATTTTGTTGAACCAAAAAGATAAAAAATAACCAAGTTTTCTGTTTGAATTTCAGGGACAGAAAAGAGAGATCGATTGAGTANAAGGGATTTGAACCCGGTTGAGAATCTTGACTCGGTGTGGGACCCAGAAATCCAAATGGGTATGGAAAGTAGTTGGGTTTGGGCCGGCTTGATTTGTTGGGATTGGCCCGGTTTGGCCCACGATGGGGTTTGATGTATTTGGGCCGTGAGGGGGTTGGTCCGTGGGGTTTGAAAGTGTGATGTTTGTGGTTTGATCATCTGCCATTTTGTTGAACCAAAAAGATAAAAAATAACCAAGTTTTCTGTTTGAATTTTAGGGACAGAAAAGAGAGATTGATTGAGTAGAAGCTTAAAAGAAGAGCTCTGATATCATGTTAGAAATTAAAGAAGAAGAAGTAAAGAAGAAAAAGGCAAGAGTAGCAAAGTACAAGGTCTATTTATACATGAGGAACAATCTGTAAAAGACAATGCACACATTCTGCCTAAATATCATAATCCCATACAATCAGGGATGTGTAGTAAATCAGCAATGTAATGAAAACATAATATTTGACATTAAAGTCAAATATTAGTTTTCCTAATTCAGTAATTCATATCTCCACACTAAAGTTCAGTGAGCTGGAGTTAGTAGAAGTTTGCGGCAGTTTAGGATATTTTAGATACTATTAATAGCTCCTGATTTCACAACAATAATTTCAATGACATTAACTCCTCAGTGTCTTCAAGTTACATTTTCTTTATTCAAATTTTCTTTCTAAAATTCATATAGTATCATAAATAAAGCTCTAAAGTTTGAATTTCCACATTCAATTACATAAAAGGAAAAAAATACCAAAATTTCATAACAAGGAACTATCTCACATAATATTCTCAAATTTTCATTCATTTTATGTGATATTATCATTACAACTCGAATAAATTGAATAATTGCTAATCTTTCGGTTTGATCCCGAAAGATGTGGTGAATTTATAGAATGGAAGCGATTTTAAATTCTTTTTTCTTTATTTCTTTCACAGACAATAATATTATGCAGATTCAGGTTACTCTCTGAAAAAGCACTTTGACTATGTGAAAGTTGACAGTCTGAGTATCACAGTAAGCAGTGTAGTAAAAACTCTTTGCCACTGTTAGAAATGTCTGCTTAACATTAGAGTCAATGTCATTTGAAGAATTTTGAAGAACTAACTGCACAAGTTCTTGCATCTCAGACTCTACTTGGAAGGTTGTGATGCTATCACTATTAGCGTTATTGCTACCATTGTCATGTACCTGAAACAAAATTAAAAGATTATTAAATTTGAATAAAGATTAATGGTGAGGGGGCTTATTCGAATAATGGGACTACACAGAAAATTTACCCCAACCTACAGTATTAGCCAGGTATCAGTTTAAGCTTTCCAAATAATAGGTTATATAGATGTCTCTCAGACTGACCTTTTGCTTCTGGTAATTACCAAGTTTGCTGCAAATTCTGTTGGTAAGGTCTGAGAGTCGCTTATACAGAGGATGATGCAACAGCTCATCTGAGAACCAATGCCCAGCAAATAGATTTATTGTGTATACAAGTAACTCTGCTTCTCCTTCATGCCTATCTCCTTCCTCTTGCCACTTCATCAGCCATTTTCCCCACTACATAAATTTTCAGATATAAGAAACAGAGAAGTTAAACACATTGGGCAGATCTATTATTCTGGCTTTGGAAGTTGAATGAAATTTGATTCGGTTCAAGAAAAATAATCGGTCCTTGTTATATTCATGGCAATAGCTTCCATTCGGATTATATAGAAACTAATAATTCAGTCTGATTGAATGCTTTGAATGTGTTTTATGAATTACTTACAGCCTGATGTATATGGTGGCTCATGTCTCGACCTTGAGCCGCAAGTGCGTTCGATGAAAGGTGGTTCAGCGTCCCGAGCAAGATCTGAGTTAATCCCTGCTCTATTTTGTCTGATCCCAACCTCCTGTATGCCACAAAACACATTTTTTTAACGTACCCAAAAAAAAAAAATAAAAAAAAATGATGCCTTTTATTCTTAGTTTATTGAATATTGTAATTACTATTCATATTATTCGATATTGATGAACATGAACATTAATTCCGATAATTACTTACAGCTGGAATAAGTTGTTGATAGCTCTTCCATTTTTATAATTGCTTCTATTAGTACAATTTCTAAATTCATCAACGAAGGCTTTCCTCTGCTCCCTGGAATGTTTTGTTTTGTGAAAATGAGAAGTGATTGTCTCCACCAAGACTGAAGTCTTAGCCCAAGCAATTCGCTCTAACCATTTCTCTGGCTCATATATACTGGCGGATGCTAGAAAGTACGCTAATAGAAGGGCCCTTCTGCTCATTCCGAAATTTTCAAGCGTACATTCTGAGTACCACCTGTATATCATAGCATTTTTCTTGAGAAAAAAAAAAAAAATTTGAGTTGTTGGAAGAAAAGGATATCTGTTGTATAATACCTTTGCATACTGTTCCATTCAGTTTGATGTAAAGCTTGGCAATTGTTGTAGTCTAACTTGGCAAGCTCAAGATAGATTTTAGTGTTTACATTCAGCATCCTGTAGGGGTACTTATTTAGCCATTAGAATATAATTGAATCAATAAAATTAATCGAAATGTGTTAGAGTGCATCTAGTCATTTGTGCACTCATTCAATAATACTATAACAAAACCTGTATTTACTTTAATTTCTTGATATGTAGATTTGTGGACTAATAAGTTCACTGCTTTTGATATTTCAGATTATCAAGACAAATATTCTTGATTGAAATCATAACAAATGAATTAAGGAATATACAAATAACAGCATACCTGTACAAGACTTTGCCTATCCAAATGTCATCTTCGCCGCCATATTGCTCTATGTACAGTCTTGTCTCAACTCTAGGGAACCTTGCGTACCATGGGACCTCCAATGCAAAGCTCACCTGTCATCGTAATTGTTATTGGTTTAATTATTATAATTGATCTGTTTTACTTTTTAAATATAACAAGAGAAATGAAGTTTCTAGATATATTGCCCCCGTACCTCACCAGGCAAGTCCTTAGCTATAAGCCACTTATCTAGGAGCTCATTAGCGGCATGTTTTTCTCGTAAAATTTTTTCTGAAAATTTCTTAGCATTCTCAAGGATCTTCTCGCCAGGGAATAGCACCTGAGATGCCCGATACAAGTTGAATATAACAGTAACGCCCTCGGTAGATTGCCCAGGAAAGCAAAAGAACTCACCGCCATCCTCAAAATGCCGGAAAATATCTGTACAGCAAAAAACAACTAGCAAGATCGGAATCATTTGTGCATTTGTGCAAAACAATTAATAATATACTAATTTCAGAGATTTTTTTAATAATTTCCCAAACTTACCAGCTGAAACCTCATAACCATGTAATCTGAGTAGTCTAAATCCCATGGCTGTGTCGTCAAGATCAGGAATCCTGCCTTGTCTTTGAAAAGGAATACCCTCTTCGGTCACATATCTGAAAATTAATCAATTAGGACCCTTTAGCAAGAGGAAGCTACTTTTCATATATAGGCTGCATGGTAAACTTTTTTTTTTCTTTTTTTTTTTTTAAATTATGAATATATAATATTATGTACCTGTAAACATAATCCATACATTCTTTAAATTCTGGTTGAAAATATCTTGAAATTCCGAGGCGCAGCAAGCGATCCACAACCCAAATATGTTCGTACACGTCAACTGGGTATAAGGTAGGCACTAAATTGGAGTACATCGATAAAAAACAATTAGAAACCCCTAATAATTGAGAATTTCCAGTCAAAATTTTACAAAGGCGCTTAATATATATACCTCCGGCATTGAATTCTTGGACAACTTTTGTTAAAAATTTCAAGCAATTTTCATTTTTAGTTTGCATGAAGGCATACGCAGTGGAGGATAAGGAGGAGAAGAATGAGCCATCTTGGAATTGCAATTTTAGAAGCTTTTCCCAGTTCAGGTCTTGCATTCCTTCCAAGCTACCAAGTAATGTTGTCGGTACACTGTGCAATTTGTCCTTTGGTATCCTATTTACCGGTACACCATTAATGAAATGTGGATGATTGCTCCAATATAATGTTAAATAACAATTAGCAAGCCTCTAGATGAGCAGAAAATTAACATTAATAAACCAAATTCTAGACAGAATTTATAATATCACAAGATATTACAAGCCAATTATTATATGAAACATAGATTTTCAATTTAGGGTTTATTTTATTTTCCCCTATAAGATCGCTTAGTATTAGGGTTTGTTTGGTATGGTTTCTTCGATTAGAACTTTTGGAAGAATAGCATACTAGAGTAAAGTTTATATGAGTAAAGCTTTTATGAGAAATTTGTTAATTGTTTGTTAGGAAAATGTAAAAGAGTTTTCGGGTACTAATTTACCAAAAAATGTGTTATTATAAGAATAAATCAAGTTAAATTAATAAAATAAAGAAATATTTCTATATATAACCATCTTTACTAATTTTAATTCCTAAAATATCAAGAATTTGTTTAAAGGATAGATTTAGTCATAAATTCACATGACTTAACTTAATTGCTATTAATGAAAAATATCAAGGACAAAAATAGCCGAAATACTTTAGACTACCAAGTCTAGCATAGTCTAGTATGGTTTAACATGCTTTAATTAGACTCTTAAATCATAATTTTAAATGCTAGATTGAGTTAGACTATTGAATCCTATATAGTCTAACATTATATATCATTTTTTGTTTTATTAAGGGTATAATTGGTAAGTTATTGGATTTTATGATTGGGCTTATACTTTAAATAAAACCTGCACATTTTGGGAATTGTATTTATTGAGTTGGCTGTATATATCCAAACCCCCAAAATAAAAATAAGGATACTTTTTAAATTTCAACACTTTAAATAAGCTTAAAAAGAGTTTATGGGAATAGCTCAAAATTTGAGCTTCTCCTATAAACCATAAAATAGTTTACTTAAAATCCTTAAAGAATTTTTTAAATGTAACAAAACAACATAAAATTATTTTAGAAATGCTTATAGCTTTAAATAAGCTCTTTTAGCTAGTAGATAAGTCTAACAAAACAAGTTCTTAAACACATCGGCTTGGTTAAGAAAATATAAAATTCTCCTTTTAAGAGGTTTTTGATAAATTTATAAGGGGGTGTTTGATATTTTGATAGGTTTTGAACGAACCGGTTGAGTAAATTCTAAGTGATCACAGGGAAAAAAATGAAATAAACCCTTTCAATTTAAAACCCGAAATCATATTAATTGAAAAAATAAAAAAGGAAAAAATATTTGAAGTAAAATAAATTCGTTCGCTCATTATTTGTATTGTGATTGATGTGGTATTCATGTTGAACAAAGAACTATTGAAAATTGTTAGGATGATCAACAAGCCAGAGTTTGTACCTTGAGAGCTTGAAATTTCTCTTCGCATATATATCTTGCAAGGCAGGAGAATGATCAGGTACTTCAATTTCTAAACTGCGAGCTTTATCTAGAAGTGCAGGGAAGATAATTTCAAAGCCGCAAGGCATGTGCGCATCACTCTCGTTTTCAAGCTTGGATATGTTTTCTTTGAAAAATGACAACCCTAAAGCCACAACAAAAGGTTGACGTGATATATGTTAGTCTCAAAAAGCAGAGAGAGATCATATATATATGTTGTTTATTTTGGCTTCTTTTACTGGAGATACCTTTTTCACACCTATCTTGATGGATATTCCATCTCTTTAGTGCTACAACACAAGCTATGGTGCTAATTAAGCGATCATAAGCTGAAAATATTTTATCTTCACCCCATGAACCATCTGGGAGCTGATTGTCGGCAATCCATTGAAGGGCAGATGGGAATTGAGAAGCACCACTGCCTTCAATATCTTCAATTAGAGCAACCCATGCCGTGTCATATGCCGATACACTTATTCCTCCATCGTTTAGGGAACTCAACATGGATCTTATAGTATGTACGCGTTCCTGGATCTCGTTTGGTAAAGACGCCTTGGGAAACAAAACAAATTCAATTAATTAGTATTATATTAACAATAGAGAACCTGGAGAATAAAGGAAGAAGAGAAGGGGAAAGGGGAGAAGAAAAGTAAAAAAAGGAAGGGGAAAGAGGGAAAAGGAAAAAGAGAGTGAAGAAGAAGATAAGAGAAAAATGAAATAAAAATATGATAAATTTTTTTAGAGATTTATTGATTAATTTAAAATTAATGGATATAAATTACTATTTACCCTTACTTACACATATTTTATTAACTGAGTTGGATAGAAAGTGGATAATTGTCTTTTCAAACTTTTGGGTGCCAACTTGTCGTTATGATAACTATGGTAGGTGCATGTCGTTCGGCCCACAAAAACACCCAGATTAAAGAGTTTTTGTTTTTTTTTTTGTTTTTTACTGATTTTGTGTTGACACATGAAAATTGGTTTCCAATTGCTGCATTACATATCTCAAATAATATTTTAAAAAATTTTCATTTATTTTTAAGTGATGTTATCATTAACACTTGTTGCAATTATTATAATAGCCTTATTTCCATGGGAGAATTGAAAAATAGCCTATTAAAAAGTTTTACACTCTATAACTTTCTTTTTATTCTATTAGCGATTTTAAACTAAAGATAAATATCTATCCAACACACAGTTTTCTCTCTAACCATCAACTCTTTGCATACTAAAACACAAATCAATCAATTATCATCCTTCAACATTAAACAAAGATTTTATCTCATTCTTTCACATGTTTGTAGCTATAAAATAGAGCAATCTTAGTTTTACAAAGACACATCCAATGAGGTTCAAAGAAATCTCCATCATTGATTTTCTAATTTCTCTCTCTCTCTCTCTCTCTCTCTCTCTCTTTTTTTTTCCATTTTTCCTTTGTTTCTTTCTCTGAATGATTTCTTTGTAGCCCTCTTGTATGGGTCTTTGTAAGGATAACATTTTTCATAAAATATGGGTTTTTCATGTATGAGATAATTTAGGTATGGTTGATTATTATTAAGTGTTAAAACTTAGTTACAAAGCTGAGTCAACATTGTTTGTTAGTTTTGTAAAACTAATTTGAGTCAGTTTGAAAAGAGGCAGCAACACTAACTAAATGTCAGAAATTAAGATGAAGAAGAAGCAAAGAAGAAGAGGCAAGAGTAGCAAGAGTGTCTGCCAGAGATGCCTTAAGAAAGGAGAGAAAATGCAGAAATAATTCCGTATATTGTATTTGTATACTTCATATGCTTTGTACAAGGTCTATTATACATGAGGACTAATATGTAAAGAGTAATATTACACCTACAAAGTCCTCATACAAAGTATGTGTACAAAATGATGTGTCTACCATGATTGAGACAACGAATTTGACTTTAGTTAAAAGTTGATTTTACAAATTCACTATCCCAATCATAATATGTCACATAACTTTGTACCATATCTTTGTACGAGGACTTTGTAAGTATAATATATTTCGTCTGTAAAGGCATGCACATATTCTACCTTAATATCATAATCTCATACAATTGTGGATGTAATGTGCAGTAAATTAGCAATGTAATCAAAACATAATATTTGACATTAATCAAATATTAGTTTTTCTAATTCAGTAATTCATATATCTACACGAGTAATGTTATGCTTACTCACGAACTTACTAACCATTTTACTCACCTTTGTTAAAATTACATATGGTACCTGTACTGTGTTATGTACCCGTACTATGCTTATATTTACACACGTCAGTAAGATTGTGAGTAAGCATAGTATTATTGTATCTACACTCCCCCTTAAGCTTATTATTGTATATATCATAAATGCAATGTCGGCTACTCCGAAGTTTGAATGTGCATTGTTTTGATAATCTCTTCTTGAATTTTTCCTCTCATGAAGTAGTAATCAATCTCTAATATTTTGTTTTCTCATGGAAAACTGAATTTGCTGTAATATCATTTGTTGCCTTATTATTAGAGTATAACTGACATGCCTTTTGACTTGTACCTACAAATCTCCTAATAATCCAAAGATCCAAGTGATCTCACATGTAGTTTCAGCCATAATCTTTCACCCAAGTGGCATAATTCTCAAATCCTGCCAAAACTTACTTGATGAGAATGAAGGGATTTGAAACCCGGTTGAGAATCTTGACTCGGTGTGGGCCCAGAAATCCAAATGGGTATGAAAAGTTGGGTTTGGGCCGGCTTGATTTGTTGGGATTGGCCCTTGGCCCACGATGGGGTTTGAGTATTTGGGCCGTGAGGGGGTTGGTCCGTGGGGTTTGAAAGTGTGATGTTTGGTGGTTTGATCATCTGCCATTTTGTTGAACCAAAAGATAAAAAATAACCAAGTTTTCTGTTTGAATTTTAGGGACAGAAAAGAGAGATTGATTGAGTAGAAGCTTAAAAGAAGAGCTCTGATATCATGTTAGAAATTAAAGAAGAGAGTAAAGAAGAAAAGGCAAGAGTAGCAAAGTACAAGGTCTATTATACATGAGGAACAATCTGTAAAAACAATCACACTTCTGCTAAATATCATAATCCCATACAATCAGGGATGTGTAGTAAATCAGCAATGTAATAAACCATAAATTTGACATTAAGTCAAATATTAGTTTTCCCTAATTCAGTAATTCTATCTCCACATAAGTTCGTGAGCTGGAGTTGTAGAAGTTTGCGGCAGTTTAGATATTTTAGATACTATTAATAGCTCCTGATTTCACAACAATAATTTCAATGACATTAACTCCTCAGTGTCTTCAATTACATTTTCTTTATTCAAATTTCTTCTAAAATTCATTAGTATCATACAAGGTCTAAAGTTTGAATTTCCACATTCAATTACATAAAAGGAAAAAAATACCAAAATTTCATACAAAAACTATCTCACATAATATTCTCAAATTTTCATTCATTTTATGTGATATAATCATTACAACTCGAATAATTGAATATTGTTAATCTTTCGGTTTGATCCCGAAAGATGTGGTGAATTTATAGAATGGAAGCGATTTAAATTCTTTTTTCTTTATTTCTTTCACAGACAATAATATTACAGATTCAGGTTACTCTCTGAAAAAGCACTTGACTATGTGAAAGTTGACAGTCTGATATCACAGTAAGCAGTGTAGTAAAACTCTTTGCCACTGTTAGAAATGTCTGCTTAACATTAAAGTCAATGTCTTTGAAGAATTTTGAAGAACTACTGCACAAGTTCTTGCATCTCAGACTCTACTTGGAAGGTTGTGATCCTATCACTATTAGCTGTTATTGCTACCATTGTCATGTACCTGAAACAATTAAAAGATTATTAAATTTGAATAAAGATTAATGGTGAGGGGCTTATTCGAATAATGGACTACACAGAATTTACCCCACCTACAGTATTTAGGTATCAGTTTAAGCTTTCCAATAATAGGTTATATAGATGTCTCTCAGACTGACCTTTTGCTTCGGTAATTACCAATTTTGCTGCAAATTCTGTTGGTAAGGTCTGAGAGTCGCTTATACGAGGATGATGCAACAGCTCATCTGAGAACCAATGCCCACAAATAGATTTATTGTGTAACAGTAACTCTGCTTCTCCTTCATGCCTATCTCCTTCCTCTTGCCACTTCATCAGCCATTTTCCCCACTACATAAATTTTCAGATAAAAACAGAGAAGTTAAACACATTGGGCAGATCTATTATTCTGGCTTTGGAATTTGAATGAAATTTGATTCGGTTCTGAAAAATAATCGGTCCTTGTTATTCTTGGCAACATGCTTCCATTCGGATTATATAGAAACAAATAATTCATCTGATTGAATGCTTTGAATGTGTTTTTGAATTACTTACAGCCTGATGTATATGGTGGCTCATGTCTCGACCTTGAGCCGCAAGTGCGTTCGATGAAAGGTGGTTCACGCGTCCCGAGCAAGATCTGAGTTAATCCCTGCTCTATTTTGTCTGATCCCAACCTCCTGTATGCCACAAAACACATTTTTTTAACGTACCAAAAAAAAAAAAAAAAAAAAATGATCCTTTTATTCTTATTTATTGAATATTGTAATTACTATTCTATTTTCGATATTGATGACATGAACATTAATTCCGATAATTACTTACAGCTGGAATAAGTGTTGATAGCTCTTCCATTTTTATAATTGCTTCTATTAGTACAATTTCTAAATTCATCAACAAGGCTTTCCTCTGCTCCCTGAATGTTTTGTTTTGTGAAAATGAGAAGTGATTGTCTCCACCAAGACTGAAGTCTTAGCCCAAGCAATTCGCTCTAACCATTTCTCTGGCTCATATAACTGGCGGATGCTAGAAAGTACGCTAATAGAAGGGCCCTTCTGCTCATTCCGAAATTTTCAAGCGTACATTCGTGTACCACCTGTATATCATAGCATTTTTCTTGAGGAAAAATAACATGATTTTGAGTTGTTGGAAGAAAAGGATATCTGTTGTATAATACCTTTGCATACTGTCCATCATTTTGATGTAAAGCTTGGCAATTGTTGTAGTCTAACTTGGCAAGCTCAAGATAGATTTTAGTGTTTACATTCAGCATCCTGTAGGGGTACTATTTAGCCATTAGAATATATGAATCATAAAATTAATCGAAATGTGTAGGTGCATCTAGTCATTTGTGCACTCATTCAATAATACATAACAAAACCTGTATTTACTTTAATTTCTTGATATGTAGATTTGTGGACTAATAGTTCACTGCTTTTGATATTTCAGATTATCAAGACAAATTCTTGATTGAAATCATAACAAATGAATTAAGGATATACAAATAACAGCATACCTGTACAAGACTTTGCCTATCCAAATGTCATCTTCGCCGCCATATTGCTCTATGTACGTCTTGTCTCAACTCTAGGAACCTTGCGTACCATGGACCTCAATGCAAAGCTCACCTGTCATCGTAATTGTTATTGGTTTAATTATTATAATTGATCTGTTTTACTTTTTAAATATAACAAG